GTTTATAGATTGGCAGCCAACATCTTTTTTTAGGGTTTAGGGCGTGGCAACCAACCCCCCCGTTTTCGGGTCTATAGATTGGCAGCCAACATCACAAACTGTGGCATTTCTGAAATCACATAAGTGAACAGAATGGGTTCGTTCGAACAGAGAAACAACAACATAGAGATATCCAATGAGTAGTTGCTTTGACCAAAGGCCTTGGGGAATAAGGAAGCCACCGCGCCAAAAATGTTCAGACACATCTGCCTAACAGCTGTCACTTCCCATTCTTCAAAACATGTTTTTGAAAACCGAAAAGGAAAACCTGTCCAAACAACTACCAATGATTTGGGAGCCAGCTCATAGAAGAAAATGTAACAGTATTAGTTTAAAGATGGGCAGTCTTGTCCAAATGCCCCTTCACCACCTCGGTGGCGTAATGGAAATGCCCAAACAGCTTTCAAACCCGAAGGTTTTGGGAAATAACGGCAGCGAGCCACCAAGCATACCCAAACAGCAGCAACTTCCCATTCTCTAAACCATGACCCCACCTACACCGCAACTTAAATGGGGGGGTTACACGACTCGGAGCCGATTTTTTTTGGGACACTAAAGTTGGCGAGTGGGGTTACATAGTGATTTAAGTTCCAGTCCATAAAGTAGTGTTGGGGCTTTGACGACAGGTCCAAAGGCTTGGTGCAAAAGCCATATTAGTTTCCGCCACCGGTTGCGACCCCTACCTGACGGTCTACTTCGAGTCCGAGCATGTGTCTGTTGCTAGCTGCTGGTTGTGGGCAGGAGACTGAGGCAGGGCTTGCTATAGGTGGCTATACTAGGCTACATAGCCATTTCGGTTTTGTGAACCCCGAGATTCAGGTGCGGTCGGCTATTCATATATAGTTTTCTGTTGGCGGATGTTTCGCCCGATCCACGGAGTCCGGAGGCATTTTGCCGAGCCGGCGCCAGGCAGCAGAGTATAGCAGAGTGCTCTAGGTTTAGGCTAGAGCAGCAGTCAGGCCTCATCACAGGACATGAGATTCGGAGCAGATCTCAGCAGCATGAGCGGATGGATAGCGAAGTACAAGCCGCGCCCGGGTGGCAGCGGAGACTGCCGGGGACTTGGTTGGCCACTGCCAAACTCCTTTGTTCCACTTCCACGTTTTCGCTCAGACTACTATCGGCACGGATCCGGCAGCGGCCAGTTTGATTCGCTCACGAAGGCCTGGCGTAATCGCATGCATCGCTTGTTCTTCCGACAAATTTCCTGGAAACCCGCATGGGACTTGGCCACAGGCAGGCACCTGGGCCATATCTCGTGGCTTCAGTGGCGCTGGACACTTATTCGCCACGTGCTTTTGCCCTGTGAGGCTAGTGTACGGCGGCACTGTCCAGGTAGCAGTGGAGCTGAGATCCTATGCATACCAGCATCCCAATGAGTGGGTGGTCGCCTGAGTCGGCAGTCCGTTTGTTCTGAAGCTTAGATTCGAGCACTTCGACAGGTCAGTGCGGAGCAGATGGCAGGGGCAGCAGCGGTCCAGCACTTGGGCAGTGTAGGCTGATGTTACTTGCTTCTCAAGACTCAGGGCCCTAAACTTTTAAAAACCGCAACCCAAGACGACCATCCTGCCTCTGCAGGCTTCTGCCGTAGCAGAAGAGGTATAGGCTCTAGTAGAGTTATTGTGCTGTCCAGGCATCAGCAGCGCCATCTGCTCCGCAGGCAGGGCTTGCGAGTGCACGGACTGTCTGGATACGGTTTTCAGGGATGCCTGGGAGCAGGCTTGCATCTTTGCTGATGTCGCAGAGAATGGGGAGATTCGTAGAGCTGTTGTGCTGTCGAAGCAGCAGCAGTGCAATCTGCTCCGCAGGCGGGAGCAGTGCATCCTCTGGCACAAAGTCTCTGGTTGTGCTTGCGATTGCAGGGGCTGCAAGGTTTTGTAGGCATGCGGTCCTGGTAGCGGCTGTGCACTCTTAACTCCGCAGGCGGCAAGTGCCGATCAACCGAGCTTGGGCCCAGCAGACGCCGCGGAGGCGGGTTGCCAGAAGCATCTGTAGACTGACTCGGGTCGAAGGCCTAGAATCAGTCGAACCGACGAAGATGAGGAGCTGGAGCTGGAATCTGAATCTTCGACCTGGTCGTCCGTATTGGTTGGCACGTCCTCGTAGCCCTCGTCAACGTCCATCTCGTTCGTCGCTGATGCGATTGCCGCCGTACTTGTTGCCGTCCTGGTCGTTGCCGGGGTTGCCACCATTTGTGTTCGCGTCCATTTTGTCGTCCATGGCCTCGTCCTTCTTCATGTTGGACATGCCGCCATTCGTGTCCATGGGGTCGTCCTTCTTGCGTGCTTCTGGTCTGGTGGTCCCTGGAGCACAAAGAGAAGGAGGTAAAGCGTGCTGCATCCGCGGTCTGGACGGCGGAAGAAGATGAACTTCGAGAGGGTGTCAAATTCGTGAATCAGTATGCGCCGGAGGATGATTCGGAGAATCAGCAATATCTGTGGATTCTCACCAACATCCGGCCAGACAGCGGCTCACCCATAGCTGGCTGGCCAGAAGGCAAAGTCATCCGGATGGCTCAGAACAAGTCAAAAAGCAGGGTGGGAGCAACCCCTCGACCTTCTTTCCCTTTACAGCGCGAAGTCTGAAGTTACTCATGGGGGAGTTCTTGGTGCCTTTGATTGGGTATTTGCTGACTTCCTATGGAGTACTAGCAATTGGCTGGCCGGGGGTGGGAAAAACACCCCTGCTGATCGTTCTTAGTTTAGCTGTGGCGTTCGTCGGCTGGAGCTGGAGGCAGTTCTACCGGCATGGCGCCGGGCGCAAGGGATTGATAATTTTCGGCATGAGACCGGTCAAATTCAAGAAGTGCTCATTTTAGACGATCCATCCCTGGATAAGATCGATGCGGCGGATCTCAAGTCGTGGCTCACAGCAGAGGAGGACCAGAATTGCAGCAGTCGTTACACTGATGTGAAGTTGGTCCGCAACGGAGTGCGTGTTGTTGCTACAAACGAGCTTCTGGAGGAGGACGATCGAACGCAATTGGAGAAGGGACAGACCGCCGTTTACATCGAAGGAATTCTTCCAAATAACGAGGAAGTTCTTCGACTCGTACAAGCGAGCGGATGTGATGCAGATCTTGAAGCGCTGCGTGGTTCTGATCTTCGGAAAGCGTGCTTTCTATTTGCGGTTGCCTGGCCAGGAGGAAGCATCGCCCATCCACTGCATCCAGGAGGAAGACTGGCATGTCGATTTGTTCACAGACCGCGACAAGCCTCAGTATGCCAAGTATAAGGTGGGCATCCAGAAACACCCCCCGACCTTCGAAGAAGACATCATGGGAGCAGGATCTCATGGAGGAAGGAATGCAGCAACTGCGCTCGCAGGTCGTCGGCCCGAGACGTATCTTCGGGAGCCGGGGGTCACGGCCGGGATCAGCAAAGCTTTTCTAGGAGTTTTTGCAGAGGCTAGCCCTGCCGTGGGGCTGATCCCGGCTAAGGAGCACGACACGGTGGCGGTGCACGACACGGTGGCGGTGGCTGCGGAGTTCTTGGTGCAGTCCTTCTCGGGAGCTCAAAAGCTACTGGAGACACTTTGGGATAAGTTGGATTTTGACCAGCTTGATGAGCTGACGAGGGCTGCGAGAATGAGCTCCTCCAGGAGGTGGCCAGCTCGCAGGCGGACATCGTGGCCGGGCCGCCTCACAGACAATGAGGAGGCTTCAGCACATGGATAGCTGGGACCAGCTAGCCACGTCTGAGCAGGATTCAGAGAAATTGTGGAGGAGGCCCAACTCCTCGGATGGCTGCGTGTCCTACAAACACCCCGATGTCGATCACGCACTGGATATCCGGATAGGAAAGGGCTACTACAACTGCCAATAGCGTGCGAGCCCGGGAGCCTGGCAAGGGCAAGGTCGACCAGACCTGGAGCACCGTCAGGGATAAGAACCTGGCTTTGCTGTTGCCCAAGGACCCCAGAGCAGGCGATCAGCTTCAACATCGGCTACCCGGGCGCACATGACCAAGATCCTTTTTCCGCTGTTGGAGGTGGTGGATGCCATGAGTGTTGATGGCCACTTCGGCGTCCACCGTGGCCTATGCCCATCCGATCCCCCAAGGACGGAGCGACTTAAAGGGCAGCCACGCAAGAAGATCCTTCGAGAGCATGACGCAGTTGCGCTTGCCGGTCGAAGGATTCTATCCGGGTCGTTCTCCCTCAGCGAACTGCCGGCTGGCACTTTTGCAGAGGATCCCTCGATTTGGACGGTCCTTGGAGCCGTGGAGCATGTCCAACACGAGAACAACAAGGACAAGGTGCGTCTCCTCAAGGCGGTCATGAACATGGACCAAGTCGAGGCCGACTTGCTGATTCATGACGATATCTGCCACTTCCAAGAGTATGCCTCTCAGAAGAAGCATGCGCCAGACTTCAGCCCCCTTCGCTACTACGTGGTTGACGCATTCCATGCACCTAACCACAAGTGTTCAAATTCAACTTGGACCGCAGTCGAGCAAAGTCACTGTCGTAATGTCAGGACAAGTGTATCCGAGTCCTTCAATGCGTGGCTTCGCCGCCTCAATTTCTTTCTCAACAACCTCCGTCCCAAGTCGCATCGCTTTCGGGTAGAGCAAATGTGTAACTTCTACAACACTAATCTGCAGCCCGTCCCGATTCGCATTTCCCGGCGCAGAACCGTCCTTGGCAGAGTCACGATGTTCCAGCGCCCTGGTGCCGTGCAGAGCTTCAGACTCCGAGTGAGTGGCGCCTCCAGTCTGGCTGGGAGCTTATGCATCCACGTTTTGGGCTCAAGGACATGCAGCTGGTGAGAAATCCGAGAAACACTGCTGCACACCAGAGCGTCCAGAGGGTTTAAGGCGTGGTCCGGCGTGGTAACCAAATACTTTTTTTCTGGATTATAAATTGGCAGCCAACATCTGCTTTCAAGGTTGTGGGCGTGGCAACCAGCACTTCGGTTGAAAGGTTGGCAGCCAACATTTCCTTTCAGGGTTTAGGGCATGGCAACCGTCACGTCATTGTCGGGCTTCTCGATTGGCAGCCAACATCCCCCGTTTTAGGGTTAGGGCGTGGCAACCAACACCTCGTTTTCGGGGTAGGCAGCCAAAATCTCCTTTTGGGGTTTAGGGCGTGGCAGCCAACCCCCGTTGTCGGGTTTATAGATTGGCAACCAACATCCCCTTTAGGGTTGAGGGCGTGGCAACCAACGCCTCTTTTTCGGGTCTTGGTCGGCAGCCAACATCTCCTTTCAGGGTTTCGGGCGCGGCAACCTAGATTGGCAGGCAAGATCTCCCTTTAGGGTTTAGGGCGGCGTGGCAATGTCCTTTCAGGGTTTAGGACGTGGCAACCAAATACTCTTTTTCGGGTTGAGAGATTGGCAGCCAACATGCAACCAACAACACCTTTTCGGGTTTATAGATCGGCACATCCCCTTGTAAGGGTTTAAGGCGTGGCGACCAACACCTAATTTCGGGTTTATACATTGGCAGCCAGCATCTCCTTTTAGGGTTTGAGGCGTGGCAAGAAAAACTTTCTTGTTGGGTTTATATATTACTGTAGCAGTCAATGTCTCCTTGCGGGGATTAAGGCGTGGCAACCAACACCTCCTTTCGGGTTTATAGATTGGTAGCCAACATTTTTTTTGGATTTAGGCGCGGCAACCAACATGTGCTTTGCGAATTGAGAGATTGGCAGCCAACATCTCCGTTTAGGGTTTACGGTTTGGCAACCAACACCTCCTTTTCGGGTTTAAAGATTGGCAGCCAACATCTCGTTTTAGGGCTCAGGGCGTGGCTCCGATTCGGGTTTATAGAATGACAGCCGACATCCTTTAGGGTTTACGGCGCGGCAACCAACACCGCCTTTCCGGTTTTATCGATTGGCAGCCAACATCTCCCTTTCGGGTTTGGGGTTTAGAGTTTGGCAACCAAGTCTGCTAGGGTTTGTACATTGGCAGCCAACATCTCCGTTTAGGGTTTAGGTTTTGACAACCAACATGTGTCTGGTTAATATATGGGTTCGCAACCAACATTTCCCGTTAGGGTTTAGGGTTTTGCGTCTACCGTTTCCTTCTCGAGTTCAGGGTTTGGCTCGCTAGGGCGTAGAGATTGCCAACGAACATGTTCGTTTAGGGTTCAGAGTTTAGCATCCGACATCTACGTGTAGGGTTTTAGAGTTTACCAACCAGCATTGTGTGTAGAGATTGGCAACCAAAATTTCAGTTGGGGGCTTAGGTTTTGGCAACTAACATATCCTGTTAGGGTTTAAGGCTTACAACTTTCATTTCGGTTTTGGGTGCAAAGTTCGGCAGCCGACTATTTCCGGATGTAATCAGGGGTTGGCAGTCAGCATTGCCTAAGGTTTAGGGCAAGTTTAGGGTTTGGCACCAGCACTTGTTGCATTGGCCACCAACATCTTCGCTTTGGGTTTAGGGTTTGGTCACCAGATTTTTTCGGTTCGTCTTGGAACCAATTTTTTCGGGTTTACATATTGGAGGGTTCGGCAACCAACATGCCTTGTAAGGGCTCAGGGTCTGGTATCCAAAAAATCTCGTTGTGGGCCCGGCTTAGCAGCCAACATCTCCTTTCCGGGTTTTTTTGATTGGCAACCAACAGAATTTTTTCGGGTTTTCGTGGGGTTTGGCAACCAACCTATCGTGTTAGGGTTTAGGGTTTTTGCATCCAACATCACCTTCTAGGGGGCAGTCTTTGGCAACCAACATTTCCTTTTTCGGGTTTTGAGGGATTGGCAAACAACATCCCCGTTTAGGGCTGAGGGTTTGGCAAGGGCCAACGTTTTTTTTTGAAGGTTTGGCGAAAGGCTGTCCTTTAAAAGGTTTGGCTTGAAGTCCCGCGGTCTTGGTCCTGCAGTGCCCCGGTCCCCTGGGCCCTTGCTTCCCCGGTCCCGTGGTCTCCTGGTCCTGCGCTCCCCTGGTCCTCTGGTATTTTGGTCCCGTGCTTCTTCGGTCCTGCGGTTTTCCAACTTTCTGCTACGTCTTTGTTTCGGCCCTCTGGTTTCCTGGTCTTCGCGTCCGGTGGTCGCCTGGCCACCCGATTCCTGTTCTTTTGGTCTTCTGATTCTCAAGTCCTGTAGTCTTCTGGCCCCCTGATGCCCTGGTCCTTGGTCCTCTACACGCTTCGTGTCGCAGTTCTTTGGTCTTCTGGTCCTCTGGTCCCTCTCGTTCCCTGCTCCTCTAGACTCTAGTTATGAGGAATTGCAAATTGGTTTCTATGGGCTTTGTGTTAGTTGTGTGTGTTGTTTGTTGTATTCTAAATTTCAACCGGTTTTAGCCAAATGAGGGGCATGTTTACGATGTATGATGAACCGGAATCGCCAATGAGGGTGCTTGTTTAAGATACATGGCTTGTTTAAGATATATGGCGAACCGGAATCGCCAAATGAGGGGCGTGTTTAAGGTTTTTGGTGAATCCGAACCGCCAAATGAGGGGGCGTGTTTAAGATATATGATGAACCAGAACTGCCAAATGAGGGGGCGTGTTTCAGATATAATGATGAACCAGAACCGCCAAATGAGGGGGCGTGTTTCAGATATAATGATGATTTGGACTCGCCAAATGATGGGGCGTGAATCGCCAAATGAGGAGGTGTGTTTAAGATATCTGGTGAAACGGAATCGCCAAATCAGGGGCGTGTTTAAGATTCATGTTGAGCCTCGAGCCGGAATCGCCAAATGAGTAGGATGTGTGTTGAAGCGGAATCGCCAAATGAGGGGGCGTGTGGAGGATGTAATTTGAAGCGGAATCGCCAGATGAAGGGGTGTGTTTAAGATATCTGATGAAAACGGAATCGCCAAATCCGGGGCGTGTTCAAGACATATGGTGAACTTTGAACCGGAACCGCCAAATGAGTAGGATGTATGTTGAAGCGGAGTCGCCAAATGAGAGGGCGTGTGCAAGATATGCGTTGAACTGGAATCGTCAAATGAGGGGGCATGTACAAGATATGCGTTGAACTGGAATCGTCAAACGAGGGGGCGTGTTTACGATATACGGTGAACCCAAATCGCAAAATGAGGAGGCGTGTTTAAGATACATGATGACCCGGACTCGCCTCTGTTTAAGCCGTGCAAGGTCGCCTGAAAGCATCTGATTCCTTTTGAAACCCATCATGCGAGCATTGTGTTTGCAAATGCCGGGGGCCCCGCCCCCCCAAACTTCCCGCTTTTTTGAGCCGTGCAAGCTTGCTTTGAAGCCCGAATTTAGGCGCCGAATTCGAACTTCAGAGTTTAAGCTTCAGCAGTGACGGATGGCATCCACTTCCAAAGGTGTGTATGTATGTAGGCAGGTAGGTAGGTATGTATGTACTTATGTGTGTAATTATGTGTATCCTTACATACATGTGCACAAATGCAATACATGCATACATGCATACATACATACATAATCATACATACATACATACATACATACATACATACGTACATGCATACATGCATACATGCATACATGCATACATGCATACACGCATACATTGACATACATGCATGCAAGCCATGCTTATTGCTACATACATTTGCATGCAAAAACGAACATAAACAACGGCGCGATCAACAACTACAAACAAGCATACCAGTATGTAAAAAAGGACAAACAAATAACAAATAAAATATATACATAAATACATATGTATATATATATGTATATGTTTATATGTTTGTTTATTTACTTGTGTATGTACATGCCGCCACATGCAGATATGAACGCTGTTAGCTTCGCAAGCAAGGGCGTGCATTGATGCATTTGCATACGACGAGACTTACACACACACACACATGTGTTGATGTACATATGTATGTGTACATATATATGTATATGCATACACGCACATGTATATACATACTGCAATAGTATGTGTATTTGTATGTGTACATGCACCAGCGCATATGTAAAGGTTTTGTGTATGTACATCCATGTACATACTATATACATACGATAAGTATATGCAAATATATATATATATGTATATATATATACACATGTACAGGTAGATATACTTACACACACACACACACACAACCACACACAACCCGCTTACCATCCCGTGCGGTGTCGACAATGTGGTTCATCATCGTGCCTAGTTCCCACCAGAGTAGCCCAGGACCTGGCACAAGGACTTGGACGATGACTCCTTCATGAACGACGCTGGGACCAACAGCAAGCAACTGTCTGGGAAGGGAGTGATCAAAGTGAGACTAAGAGGATAAGGAACATAAGGAGCAACAAGACTGAGGGCTGAAGGAATTTGTCAGAATGAACGCCTGCAGCCGGGCTGCAGGCTGTCCGGAGCCACTCCCTGGGTTCCTGGGGTCTCCAGAGCTTGGCCCGCCTGGCGTACCTTCTTCTGAGGGCAGGCTGGATGCCAGTAGGGATGATGAGAAAGAAAAGCTACGTGCCAACTATGCAAAGGGCGCCGCGAAGGGCTCCGGCTGCTTTTGGAGGCTGGTCGGGTTAACATGAACCCTACGAGTCTGTTCTCCTTCAGTCCCGCCCTTGCTTTCAGGGAGGCATCCTGCCCGGCCACATACGTAGCCCAGCATTTCGAGAGGGAGTATCAGATCTGCGATTCGCATTCAAAGATCACGCAGTCTATTTAAGCCCAGGCCCAAAGCTTAGAATTTGACAGGAAGTGGAAAAGTTGCAAGCCAGTCCGGAGGCATGGTGTTGCTCTGCTTCAGAGCAGCGTGAGATTCTTTTGGAGCGAACTCCGTCCATCTCAGACTGGCTCTGCAGGTGAAGGCTGGACTGTTCGCGCACGAGACCTTGGCCTACTTCACTCTTCATATGGTCAGCTTGGCATGCCAAACCCCACGGCCCAAATTGGGTTGAGAGTCGGAGCTCAGGTTCACTTCTACAGCGTCTCGAAGAAGCTTCCCCTTTCGGAGCCCTTTGCAGATTTCGTGCAGAAGTGCGACCAGATCCTTGACACATCACTGCTTCGGCCCAAGCGGTTTGGTTGTGGTCGCTGTGCAGTTTACATGCACCTCTGAAGGCCTTAACCTTTGCCTTTGGGTGTTCTGAGGTATCGCTCGTACTATTCGGATGTGCTCATACATGGTGCTCACCTCAAGGAAAATGTGCTTCAGAAGCTGAAGACAGTGCTTGGTGCTTTCCCCTGCTGTGCTTCCTCCAGACGCGTGACCGCGGTGAGGCAAAGAAGCTCGAACTGGGCTCGTTTTTCCTGACTTGCTCCCACTACCTGATCTTGTCCCTGCCTAGCCTAGACTTGGGATGATGCGGACTATCGTGCTGATAGTCTGTGTTTAGACGACGTGAAGGTTGCCCACGCCTGCTGGCGAGGGATAACATTGTAGCTAGTACATGCCAACTGTTTGTTGATGGACAAAGCTTCCTCAGAAAGATGCAGTGCCTTGTGCAGCTGGCACTGCAAGACCAAGCCACGTGGGCTGGGTTTGCCGGCCGACTCCAAGCTAGAAGATAAGAAGTTCGCAGACAGGGGATCACCAGAGCCACGCAGAGTGCACGTTCATGGCAATGCGGCAATTGCACTTTCATCGGAGCTTTCTGGTGGTGCGTGGTCTTGCTCACTCACATGTGCATATTTGTACATGTGTGTGCTCGAGTATGTATGTATGCAAACGCATGTATGTACGTGCGTGTGTATGTACACATATTGTATTGCATTGCACAGAATTGTATTGTATGATACTGTGCGCCATGGTGCGGCATGGCATGGTCTGGTATGATGGTATGTTTTATTGTGTTGCATTTTATGGGGCTGTATGTACTGTATGGTATCGGAAAACTATTGCATGGCACTGTGTGGCTGCATGGTATTGTGTGGTATTGTATTGCGTGGTATTTATTGTTTCGTTTGGTATCGTATGGTTATGGTATTGTTTGATATTGGTTGTCTTGTCTTGTATCGCATCGTATTTGTGCATATATACAGATGTGCACGTGTGCATGTGTCCATGTTTGCATGCATGTCAGCATGAATGTATGCATGTATGTCCCATATACCAAAAAGCCAAAAAGCCAGCTGACTTGCTACGGTGGATGGAGGAAGTCTTGCAGCACCTACTTAACCTCCTCCATCCAACGGAGCTAGCTGGCTGGATCGATCGAGAGATAAACAGACTTGCACAGCACTGCACAAGCTATACGTATTTTTGCACTCGTACGGCTGCTACGAACATACAGACATAATGACATGCATCCACACATGAATGCATGGATGCATGCGTACATACGCGTACAACTTAGGTGAATGCACGTGCAGTCATACACATACTCATGTTTATGCATATGCACCGTGACGGCAACGGTCCTGTGCTGAAACACGCCAGGCCGTCTGCTTCACAGCGCGGAATCGGTTCGCGGTCCTCCAGCAGGGTGGCTCCGTGGGCCGCAGACCCAGGCGCTTCGAGGCTAAGTGGCCCGAAGCTGAGAGCTTCTCCGATTTCTGGCGCTGGCGCTCTGAGCCCCAAGGAATTTACAACCTCCAGAACGAGCTTTCCAAGAAGTTTGATCCGCCAGTTTCGGCAGACTTCATCTTTCCAGGTGCATTCTCAGGTAGTTCCAAATTCCCAACCTTTCCCTTTGGCCAAGAGGCCCGACATGCCAAAGCAGGTCTACTCACTGGCTGAAGCCGTAGTAGCTACAGCACGGAAATGTGCATAGACCTTGAAACACCAGTTACAGAGCCCCTTCTCCAGCCGTATGCAGCTCCCTTCATTGTAGATTTCACCTGCATAGATCGTAGATGCATTCTTGTAGGAAGTACAAGACAAACAGAGGGAAGGATTATTATCTTGGAAGTGGCGCAGTGGAGACCATATGGAGGTGGAAACAACCGCATCCTGCTCAAGAGTGAAGAGAAGGCATGGGGGCGGGATACATGGATGCTCGGGAGAGGAAGCCTCCAATGGGATTTCCTTATCGGTGGAAGCTTCAAAGTGGAGAAATGTACTTGCCCAGATTGTGATGTACGACCTGACCGCCCGCAAGACCGTCGATGAGGTCAGCGTGGCAGGAGGTGTGCGATACGTAGCCGGATTCTCAGAGACACGAGACAATCTCGTGGATGGTCCAGCCTAAGCCCTATGAAAGCTGTCGCTTGACCGAGGTTTGGTCGCCGAATGGAGTCTACGTGGCGTTTATGTCCAAGCACAATGCCTTGACCCCGAAGCCGGAAGCGGGGGTTGAAGCCAGTGGGCGCTGAGTGGGACCACTCCTGAGGTCTTGCTGGCTGGTAAGAACCTGGAGCTTCCGCCTTGGGTAGCTCTGCCGTCTCGTCGGCTAATTGGCTTCCCGGGCTCCCTGAGGTATTACCACTCGTTCCATGAGAACATCCGCGTGAAGAGTGGAGCCTGGGACGAGAATGGGGTGCCCAAGCCTCAGCAGGTTTCGACCGGGAGCGGCGTCTAGGTCACTGTTTACGCCTCTCTCTGTTCCAAGGTTCGTGTACTCCACCCTGAGCCACGTGAAGTACTGCCTCCCCAACGGCTGCTTCACGGCATGCTGAAACGTCATGAACCTAGGGCCCTCGTTTTTCATTATGCGGATCGCAAAGGTGACAGTGGGATCATCCATTCCTTGGCGAACCCTATCTACATCGCACGAGTGCCCTTGCGTTGCAGAGGACAATGGGAGAGAGCTTGCCAAAAATCCCATCAACAAGGGGACATTTCGCCGAGCACTGCTGATGACGTGCAATGAAAGGTACACAAGCAGATGATGTACTACATTGACAGGGAGCAGAAGGCACTACGACTGGTCCAGCACGTGTATCTTGCTTTGGCGGCATTTTCAGGTCGGCAAGCAGCGTCTGAACTGCTCCGAGTACCTCTTCAAGCGACTAGCCCGCACCGCCTGTCGCAACGAGTGAAGAGCAGCAGCTGCAATGCAGCTCTCTCGAATTTTGGACGTACCTACCTGCGAGGCTCGCGCTTCACAAGCGCAACTTCAATGACGTGAAGCTGTGGATTAGTAATGGCCGGCTTTGTGGCAACGCGGTCCAGAACCCAGACGGAGGTCCTAAGGCGCATCAAGGCAGCTGAAGAGTGTCGAGTCCGAGTCCGTTTGCAACCATGAGGTGATTGGATATCTGAAGTCCAAGGGCTTTCCAGAGGCTGGGATTCGGCGCATCTCTTGTCAGGATGTTCCTGGCCGCTAGAGATGGTCTCAGGTGGCACTCCACTTTGTGGAAGACCAGCAGACCCGTGCTTCCCCGAGGGAGGCTGTTTGCATAGACCTGCCTTCCCGGCCATGAAGCTCTGGATAGCTGTCGAGAAGCCTCCCCAGACAAGACGCCTCCGAGCATCCAAGGCTTCAACCTGGCTCTCGAGTGCCCGTGTGTTTGCTGACGCTAAACACTTAGCCTTAAGCTGCGAGGGTCGGCTAGAACGCTCGGTTTCGAAGGAGACAGGTGTCAAGGCTGTCGCAGGTAAATCTTCAATTCGCAGCCAGTGGAATCCACGGTTGATGCTGGGCGAATGCCAGGTATGGTCACATCGAGGAGGCGACTACGCTATGCTGCGGCTATGCTAGTTTCGCCTTCTTGTGGGATGAGCGGATCCTGCGACGCAAGCTACTGCTGTCCAAGACGGGGTTACGGTGCCATTGAGCACTGGGCACTGGGTGCGATTCAAGTGCATTCCCGGTTCAAGCACAAACTTGCCATGCAAGCTATGCAGCATTCTAGAGGGTTTGAGGCATCATGGGCTTGGGCTTTCGAGACTCGCGGCCTGAAGTTTCGTGCCCTAAGCCTTTACAGTTTAGGGTTTATGGCTTTAGGTGTTGGCGGATGAGTGTTTTCAGGTCGAGGGCCGTTAGCTTTGAGGTCCTGGGTTTCATACGTTGTGTACAATTGGACATAGCAATGTAGTCACACTTGCACCTATGCGTGCCAACGTACCTAGTCACCCAGTTACAGACATGCAGCAGACTTATCTAGCTGTCTGTCCATCTATATGGTGTACCTATCTATCTATCTGTCTGGCTGTCTATCTGTCTAGCTACCTATCCATCTATCCGAACCCGTACCCGATTCCTGCTTCCCTATCCTACTCTACCCTATGCAACAATTCCATCCATCTATCCATCCATCCATCCATCCATCTAACTACAAATTTGTAGCGGCATGGGCTTGGTTGTGAAAGTAGTGTTTGCAAGTCGACACAGAGATTGAAGAACGAGTCCGAAAAGCAGGTAGGCCAAGTCGGAAAAGAATTCAGACCACCGTTTCGGAAATCGGAAGGGACGTTCACGTCTTAGGCTTTAGGCTTTATGGTTTTAAGGTTCAGGGTTCCATGAACGTGATTCTCGTGTCTGTCTTTTGAATGTCAGTGGGATTTGCTACTTCTTGTTTCGGAATTGATTTCGGAATGTGTCTGCAGCAGCTTGGTTGCTTCATGCAGGCCATGACAGCGGCCCAGGAACTGGACGAGCGAAGCTGCCGATGCCCAAGAGCAGAAAAGAGCACAAGAGGACTTCTCAAGGACTTGAGAGTTTTCGGAGCTCGAAAGTTCAACCGCAACATGAGGGTTTAGACTGTTGTTATTCGAGCGGAGATCTGATTCTCATCACTACTCACATGGTTGCAGATTGATGCTTTAGCATTCTTTGTCCTGCCATTGTTCTTTGCGTGGTGGACTGTGTAGGGCCACATGCCAGAAGCGTGTGCAAGCAAATCCTCGGAGATTTCCCAGAACACTAAGAGTTCGGGTCGTAGTGTCTCGCATTTCGCGTCGGAGGCTGGAATCGCCTGGGACTGGAAGCGCTCCGGCAGGGCAACCAGCAGATCGTCGAGATGGCCGGTCCTCCCAGACAAGCAACCCGAACGTCGCTAAAGACAGCTAGATGGCCAACATGTTCTGGTAGGATCGCGCCTGGGGAGCAGACATGACATGATGGCGATAGAACCCGGGTGATGTATGCAGGTGTACCAGAAGACCAAGAATTTTGATGCGCTGTCCTTCTTGTACCTCATCACCGGCAACATTGCGAAGCTACGGAAGCAGCTCTGATGCACTCTTGTCAGCTCGTGTTGTGCAGCGATGGCTCGTATGCACTTAGTGCAGCATGTGGGCTTAGTTGCACGAAGCCTTTGATGCCGCGGCAGCGTCGTCTTTCAGGATGCTCAAGATTGCAGAGATGCGGGGCGATGTCATGTCGCGCTTTCACAATGTCCGGCCCTGAGAAACAGCTCCAGGTGCCAGGCAGATGCATACGGGTTGTTCTGTGTGTGTGTGTGTGTTCCCGCCCCAGGCCCTAATGCTGGGACAAGTGGAAGAGCGAGTCAAGATTATGGCCGAAATGGGACAGGCTTGCTGCAATTTGGACGGTGCGGTACTGTAGCTTGCTGCAATTGCCATTGGTGGGCTTTTGCTCTCAGTGTTAACATCTTCCCTGACAGCCACCATATAGGTCCATAGGCCATGGGTTGCACGAGTTGTCTGTCGGCTTCTGGAGGGCCTGCTCCCCAAAGCGATTTCGGGCTCATCGGAAGGTGCCGCTGGCAGCGCTTACGGCACGAGCCCACCGGCTGACGGAATACATGGAGAAGCTGGAGGAGTGGGGGCAATTCCTTGGGGTTTCTTGTCCGTTTCTTTGAGCAGGCAACACCTTCACCCCAAGCAAGAAAGAAGCTGTCGATTCGACGATTGTCATGTTTCTGATTGGTGCGAATCGATCTTGCCAAGCCCAGACACTCCCAATCCGCAAACTCCACACCCCAGCGCTGAAAGTATTTGGATTGCCAGGAGCTGCAAAAGAGAAGCAAAATACCAAACGACCCATTGATGTGCCCAGCTCCCCAACACTATCAAACCAGCGCCCGTCGTTCTTGAGGAGCTCCGTGTTGTCAGAAAGTTTTCTAAAATGCCTGGAGATTGTGTTTCGGCGAAATAAAGAGCAGTCTGAGGGAATGGGAGGCAACAGCAGTAGTACTCGTAGGTCGTCAGCGGGATGCGGAAAAATTAAGCGGAGCATTTGTGATCCTTCACCACCGGAACCTGTATGGCGCGGAAATCAGGAGCAGCTTCAAGGAAACGATATTCTGGCGCACATTCCGAGCAAGACCGTCCTGTGTTCAGCTCAGCATGTTTGGGAATAATTCTACGCTCCCCACGCCCCTAAGGTCTCCCCTTCTCATGCTCATTCCTTCAACAGTGACTCTGCTGATGTGTCTCTGGCTCAAGGGAGAAGGCTGTCTGACTTCAAGATAGCAATTCAGTCACCATGAGTACTTGCCCGCTCGTTGCAGCTCCCAAGACTATCCATGGACGCCCTGCTGATTGCCTTGCAGCCTCACCGTGCTCTGTTTTGGCTCGGAGCCGGTGCAGGGCTCTGTGTGAAGGGTGGCTCCTTGCGTCAGGCAGCCGAGAAAGACACACTCCCCACACATCTGCATTAGGAAGGCACTGCGGGAAACAAGTTGCTGTTGTCGCTGGCAGGTTCTGTTGGTCCTACCCTTCGCACGAGCCGGATGCTAAGAGACTTTAAGTCAGCGGACGCCGGTTCGTTGTTTTTCATGTTCCGCAGGGTCTTGCACCTCTGACCCAGTGAGGTGGCAGATGCGAAGGACGCGGGTCTTACGTAAGCTGCTCGCCCTAAATCTCTTGGCTCCGGTGGAGCAGGACGTTGAAAGGCTTCTCGACGTCGCCTCAGAGGCTTTGGCATGCAAAGCATCGGATTGGCGTTGTTATGACACAGTATGGTCCATAAGCAACTAGCCTTGGATTGCAGACATGCTAAGGAACGGCTGAGCTCACTTCTAGCATGTCCCAAGGGCATGCACCGTGGCGGCTCGACTACCCATCACTTGCTGTTGCGTTCTCATGTCTCTGAGTTCCTATGCCCACACGGGGGCTGACCCGGCGGTCCTGCAAATGTGAAGGCTGTCTTTTGTTGATCGCGATGGGTTGGGGGTGGCCAGGCCTTTGGCAGACGATCGGGGCTTTGGCTTTCGAAGAAACTCGGCATGGCATTGTGAGTCCGTGGGGTATCAGATTGCAAGCGTAGCCAGACCAGACATGGCTTCCTGTGAGCCACCTTGACTCCAGACCCGCAGTGTTAAAACGCCAACCCAAACAAATGCCTGACATGCGCTCTCTCGTCAAAAAGAGGGCATCCGGCCAGCAAAGAATGTGGGTTAGTGGCTGTGGTACCTCGATCACTTGCTACTCGCAGCCACCAGTTTATCATGTATCGTGTGAAGTCAACATCTAGTCCTGGGTAGAATTGTGTCAGCCGAGCTGCAGTAGCAGCCCAGATGCAACAGAATTGAGAATCACGACACGTCTAGAAGCAGGGCAGAACTTCCTGAGCACGCGACCTCTGAAATTCAGTCATCCGAGCCAGCTTCAAAAATAGCCAACTGTCAGCCATATCTACTTGCTGTGCGAACCACATGCAGGCTCTGCTTAGAGCGGTCGACGTCGGCGTGGTTCTGGAAGTTTTGTGGCAGGTGCTGCTTCTTGTGTACGTTGAGCTTGCTGAGTCTGAACATCTTGAGTCGGTAGGGCACCTTCGTCTGTACGGTCTTGTGGCTGGCGGAAGATGACAGCAGCCATGTCCTCAGTCTCAGCTGGAAAGCCACTGCAAACCTAAGCTTTCACAGAGTGGCCCAGCGTTGCTTCTCAGCTTCTGAGGCTTTTGCTCCGTCAGTCAGATCTATCCGGCCTGGCGGTCACTTCGCAGCCGATGCCTCTCCTTCCTTCGACGCTGTCTGGGGGACACGCCACGCCCAAGGTTGTAGGTCAACTTGAGTGAAGTGCAAGGATGCAATGCTCTGCCGTGCTCTGCAGCGCTACACTCGGCCTCGGTTCGTGGCTTGGCGTAGCGCGTACGAGGACATGGCCCTGGCGTTGCTTCCTCTGGAGCGCTCGGGCACGTCCCCGCCAGGGCCTCAACAGGCCCTTCGCCTCTGCTCGGCCGTCTCTGCCCTGTCTCTGTCTGAGGAGCTTGCGCCATCAATTGAGAGCCATTGTGGAACAACTGGGCCTCTTTGTGATACTCACATCGCACCGGAGCTTCAGTTTTGCCAGGGTGGAGCCTCATCGGACAAAGCTTGCCGTGATTGCAAGGATGAAGCATGTCTCAGTCCGCAGGCTTACTGTCATTTGTCTCGGCTTCGGGCCGTGCGTGGCTGAAGTAACTTCCGGCCTGTGAGACCGGCGCAAGGACTGGGCTGCTGGCGTTTTGCTAAGCTCCGCATTGGGCATTGAGCCACTTGTCTACGGTCCGGATGGGTTGGTGTTCTGTGATGCCGGGATTGATCGCAACTCAGACTTCCGAAGCCTAGCATGCCTGTTCCTTTCTGGTCCAAATACATTCAACACGTTTCCGCGTGCAATGCTTGTGAACACACTGTCTGAAGCGATTTCGTTCTGCGAGGTTGCTGCAGCGGGCGCCCCGCGCAGCTCTGGAGGCACTCCTGCTTGTGGGCCGGGATGGGCAGTTGCGGGCTTCTTTGTGGAGTGCGGTAAGCTGGAGCTCTGAACTCTGAACCCTTGCCCTGCTTTTGCGGAGAAGCGGAGGCCAGCCGAGCCGGAGTGTCCTGGCTCCCTTGGCATCTCTGGGATGCGAGCTGCATAGGCGCGGGGGGCAAAGATGGCAAAGCACAGCTCGGCCGCCCAGCTCCGCATCGCTCCGCTTTCGAACCCTTTCAACGAAGCTGCGTTGACACTGAAAGCTGTTCTCGTGCAGGCTTCGGGCTCTGGGGAGCTGGTCGGCAGATTTTCCGGGCCTTGAGCCCCAAGCAGAAGGAAGACCTGAAGAGCCTACCGCACTCCATTGCATGCTCCCTGCAGAATCTCCGGACATTCCTCGCATCGAACATGGGCTACGACGGCTACTAACGGCTACTAGTACCAGAGCCAGCAAGGCTGTGACTCTCTGCCACGGGCATGTTGCCCTGTCGCGCCCGCTGAGTCGCCTCGCTGCGGCCTTGAAGTTCCGGTTGCATCCTTGACCTCGGAGTGAACATGAGGACGCAAAGGCTCACAGTGTTGGAGCATCTTCAGCTGGCCCTTTGGGATGAACACTGCAAGGCAGACTCCCTGGCACCTTTGCGAAGACAAGAGAGCCGTCTTGCACGTCTGCTGTGGAGCACTCGAGGGCTGACCACCACGCATTGTGAGCGAAGAGTCTGCGCTTTTTCACCCAAAGCTGCACCAAAACCTCGTCACATCGCCCATCCGCTTGGCAAAATGGCTACTGCAGGATGCAAGACATGTCGATGAAGATCCAAGCTTCAGGGTTTTCGCCGCGATATACCTTAAATGTGGCTGCACCTGCAAACTCCTTCCCTCACCCTGTACCCTTTCTTTCATGTGCATCTTATGTGAGTGAACGGTCTTAAGGCTCGTTCCTCCCGTGCCCCTTTGCCGACCTGGTGCCGGCGACTCTGGTAATTGGCCCTTGCTTACGCCCGGGGCCATGGCAGTTTCGAGCAATCGAAGGTAGCATTGCTTCCTCCGGATGACATACTGCGCTTGCAGCGGCTCGCAGGTCCACAAAGAAGATCTTCGAGAAGAGCAGCTTCGAGGCTGCGAGACGTCCTCGCCCTCCCCCCCTTCCTTTCTTTTGTTTGTTTTCTGGTTTTTCGGGTGGTTTGCAAGAGGCGGCAGCGCCGCCCCCGATGCCGGGCTCGGAGGCCTTCCTGGATGCGGAGGAGAACCCGGAGGCCCGTGGCCCGTGGATCGAGGTTCTCAAGAGAGGCCTGAAGTGTTCTCTCCTCCCTCCACAAAGATGGGATCAAATCTTGACTTTCTCATCACAGGCTACCGAGCTGCACTAACTACCGGGTTCTGAGGAAGAATGGTGGGGAAAGCTTTCGAACGACTGTCCAACATTTCCCACTCCATCGCTGCCTGACCTTGAGATTATTCTTCAGAGCAGCAGGCAGGGGCAGGTGCAGGAAGCGCTGCAGCAACGGCTTTTGTTCTAGGTGCCGCGACCGAAATCGAAGCATCATCATAGTATCATAGTGCGGAATCGCTTTGGACGGTGATCCAGACCGAGAGTCTGGCATGCAGATGAGACCTATGTTGCGAGTGAATTGTGGAACCAAGGAGATGCTGATGCACCTCTGAACAATTGTTTCACGACAGAACAAACACGCTGCCAGGACACAGAGGGTCTAGGTGGAGGTGCCTGGGGAGAGGAGGACGGGTCGGCTGTCTGTTGTGAGAGTTGAGCCATGTCGAAGGCAATAAGTGTCCGAAAGGAGACGGCCCTGGATTTGGGTGCGGATATGGGTGGTGGCGACTGGGGAGGCTCGACAGGGGCGACAACTTCAGTGATACGGTGGTGGCACTGCCTCGACTTTCAGGAGACCTGGACCTCGGTGATTTGGGCGGCCTGCTCCCTGCGTCCACTGAGCCACAGGAGGAGGCATCGGGCCTTGAAGCTTTACGTCCTGCAGAAACCCAACCCTCGTCCGACCGTTCCAAACAGAGCTATGTCATGTCCTTTCGCAAGACCTTGCATCTCTTCGCGCCCCAGTTATCTGCTGAAACATCAGTAGCATCTTGCCGAGTGGCCAGGAGCGAGGTTTGAACCTCACCCTGGCAGACAGCTGCCAGGCACAACGTGTTCTCTTGCAGTGTTTTACCGTTTCCTGGCCACTTGAGTCTGAGCCCAGCCAGGTCAAGTGGCTCAGGAAACGCAGACTTCCTGCGGATCTCGTGGCGGCCGGTGACTTCGAGGAGGCCGTGATGCAGTGACCTATTGGGATGTCCCACCCTCCCCTGCTTATCCACTCAGCTGACTTGCTGTGTGGGATGCTTGAGGCGCTCGGCTTGCTCAAGCGGCGGCTGGGCTTGATGAACGCCCCATCCTGAGATATCTCGAGTCTCGCAGTGTGAGCTTCCCCGGATTTCCACGGTGGAGGAGGAATCTGTGAGATTCCAGCACATCGGAATGTCTTGGAGGGACGCATGTAGCTGGGTGACTTGCGAAGGCAGAGCCTTTGGAGCCTATTTTCAAGCAGGCTTACTGGGCCTGGATCTCAGATTGTCAGCTCCGCCTACGCCATGCTCCCACTCTCCTGCACATCAGTTAGTCAACATTGACTTGAAGTCATGAAGTTGGGTTGCTTGTCATGTGGTCGATGTTGAGAAGTCCCACCCAGCACTGTCAACGACTAGCATCAACGGCATTGCTTAGATCAGGACCATTGTTGTAACCGAAACGGCAGCGCCCCTTCGAGGCTACATGCACCTCGTTGCCCAGTCTGCCGCAAGTGGCGGACCAAGCCTGCAGACTTCGCGGTGAAGTGACGTTGGTCGGAGCTGGAAAGCATCGCGTGCACTAAGCGGCAGCTTTTTCTGCGTTTCTTCCCTGCGGCGCTGAGATGGTGTCGATCAACTGGCCTCTGCTGTCAGAGGGTAGCATCAAGTCCAGGGAGCCCGGGCCCCGGAGGAAAAGCTCATGGGACTCTTGGGACTTGGGCCTGTTGTTGAGCCCTTCCTGTGGTGCAGCTCAGGATTGCTCCCATGGTGCTCTTCACCCCACAGGCACTGAAGTCTCGTTGAACGGTCCTTCGTAGATCTTCGAGTGGACGTCTTTCGAAAGAGCACGTGATGAGTGCAAGATGTCTTGTCATTGTGACAAGATCGTACAGTTCCGATGATATGGCAAGAAGCAAACGCAGAGATCACGATTTTCTTTCTCATTGTCCCATGTCGTGCTTATTGTGCTTCGGTGCACATCCGATTTGTATTGCTGCTGTTGCTCTTTCTGCAGTCTGATGATGAGAGGTGATCCTGGAAAGAGTCAAGGAGGCTCACAAGATGACTTCCGCAGGAAAGTTTAACGACGCAAGGGCCTCATAACCTGTCGGCGCACAGCCAGATGCAGCTTCGAGCCGTGAGTATGGCAAAGACAAATCGATGCTGAATGTGTTCTGTTTTCAATTTACTGAGAGTCTGCCGTGGGAAGTTTAGGATCCATCTTCCAAGGTAATCAGTTTTCGCATGCCTTGAATGCAGGTATTTAGAAACGCAAGCGCACGTACTAGCATATCTGTCATGGACCTTTGTTCTTATCTTGGTCAGCAGGAGTGGTAGGAGCAGTAGCAGTAGACTTAGCAACAGCACTAGCGGTCACTAGCGCTAGCACGGATGCGGAGCAGGCAGAAGCTGGCAGGAGAAATAGCAGCAGCAGTAGCAGCAGCAGTAGCAGTAGCAGTAGAAGTAGAAATAGAAGTAGAAGGAAAAGGTGCAGTACTAGGAGGAGGAGGAGGAGGAGTAGCAGCAGCAGAAGAGGATGACGAAGCAAAAAAGGCGCCAGCACGAACCCATCTACAGGCACATGCATAATTCACACACATCTATGTTCATGCAAGAGAGCTAGGAGGGATAAGGAGCATTTACATTGCAGAGCCTTTAAGATGTTAGTGATGCGACCGAGGCCCTTGCAGCCTTCCGAAGTGCTCTCCAGTCCATCCCGATCTCCGTGGTGGCTTTGCAGAAGTCGTAGGGGTGCTGCTGTCTAAATTGTATACTAGCATGTCGTCATCAGATCCATGCGCACTCAGGCCAACGATGCCAACGAAGAGCGGCAGCTCACAGACATGCCTTCAGCTCAGGGGCGTAACATGGCACTTAACAGATAACTGCGATGCAGGGATGGTTCCAGGAGCAACGAATGTGTTCTTCTTTGTCGTTAGACTCCTGTTGCGACGCCAAGGATTGAGATGTGCAGAGAGTATGTGACCTTCGCGAGACTACAGGCCTGGCCGCTCAAGTTGCGATTTCGGCCGTGGGGCTCAGCAAGCAGCCTTCAGGTGACTAGCAAGAAGCTGACTCCAGACAAGGTGGGCCGAAACCTCCTCCTCTTCTCACAGAGTCCAGTAAAGCTTAAAGACAAGTGAGCAATTTTGCGCGGTAGGCTGCGAGACAGATCGAGCTCAACGCCTACCTCACTTGCTGCAATGCTGGCATGCTTGAACATTTCTCCACATTGAAGCAAGCCAACAGAATTGGTGCCCTGGTGCACAGGCAAGCTACAGCAGTTCCACCAGTTCTTGACGCTAAAGACAGCCATGGGCATCGCATTCAAGGCCTGCCTGCCCTTCAGGTGTGAAGTGATGAAGAAGACAACATGGACCCCTGATCCCGACCCTGACATCCTGATCGGAACCCATTCTGCCAGAACGAGAACTTCGTGACTGCAGCGTCCTTTGCAAAGAGGATGATTCAGGCGAAGCGCTCAGCGGGCGGAGCCTCTGTCAGGCCATTGCCCGCTCGATCTGCAAGTGCCCACAGGCAAGCAAGCAAGCAAGCAAGCAAGCAAGCAAGCACCGCGTTGCTCAACATGTTGAAGCCAATTCGGCTGCTCTTGAAGTTGTCTGATACCTCTGGAAGCTTTCCTGAAAGAACCTGATGCCGGCTGACATGCTGCAAGCTGAGGGTAATTTTGGCCCTGCCGACAAGCACAAAGACGTGGGAAGCTCAGATTGGTTTTCCTACCCTCGAAGTATCTGTGCGTCACAAGATCCTCGCCTCCATTCCAGGACGTGCAGAAAGCCAGACAAGTGCTCCAAATCTGTGAGCAGAAGGCCGGGCACAACTGTGCCCGAGGTGCGTGGAGCATGCACAAGACCGAGAATCCTCCTCCGCAGGTTTGACAGGAGACGACTCGAGTTTGAAGCATCTGTATTCATGCCTTTGGCGCGCCTCGGGCTCGAAGCTGGTCCCCTGCCTGGCGGCGGCCTGGCCTGTTCCCGTCGACTCTTGTGGCCGCATTGACTGCCCGCTCCTGAGAAGGTAGGTGCAGGCACAATGCAAGGAAAATGAAAGTTAAAGATCAGGAAGGAAATCGGGATCGAAACGTTGACCGCTGCAGAAGTAAACAGAACTGGACATGCAGAACATAACCAGGCAAGGAGAGGGAAAGAAAGAAAGTGAGAGAGAAACAAACACAGAAGCACCCAACAGGCCTCCTCCTCCTCCTCCTCCTCACTTCTACTACCACTACTACTATTGCTACTAC